CCACACTTGTCATGTCCTCTGGTTCTGATGCATATGAAGCATCCGAGTAGGCGGTGAGGAACAAACGCCCGGGTTCAACACCATCCGCGCCCTTTTGGCGCCTTTGCGCCGCCGCCAAGTATTGCAGCCCAACGGTCGGTGTTTGGCCAAGGTACTTGGCCACCCTCATTCCAGCTGCTACCTGCTCCTCATTAGGGCATTGCACCACCCTAGCCAGCTGCCCGGTAGCAAACGCGACATCCGGTCGTGTGTTGACCGCCGCGTATATGAGGCTGCCCACCAACGAGTGAAAACGGCGCCTCTCCTCTTCACCCACGCTCTCCTCCTCTGGTCCCTTCACACACTTGAACCCAGAGGGAAAGGGTGTAGCCACATGGCCTTCATTCTGCCCAAAGTTGGCAGCCAATGCCTCCAGGTACTTTCGTTGGTGCACCCGCATGCACCGCTTCTCCACATCACGCTCGATGTGAAGCCCGAGGTAGAAATTCACGTCCCCAAGGGACTTGCACTTGAACTTGTCTTGCAGCTTCAGCATCACCTCCTTCACAAGTTCTGAGGAGGGTGAGAAGATCAGGATGTCGTCCACGTACACCACCATGAAGCTCCTCTGCTCCCCCTCGCCAAGCATGAACAAGGAATGATCGGCCGTTGAGGGAGTGAAGCCGATCTCCTCCAACACTTCACGCAGCTTCAGGTACCACTGCCTAGGGGCCTGCTTTAGCCCATAGAGGGCCTTCTTCAGCTTCCACACCCTGCCGGTGCCATCATCAAACCCCTCTGGCTGTGCCATGAAAATCTCCTCCTCGAGGATTCCGTTGAGGAACAAGACACGGAGGGTAGGGGGTAGGGGGTTTGGCAGTGGGAGCAAAGATCTCGTTGAAGTCCTGCTTCTCCTTCTGCATAAACCCCTTCGCCACCAGCCTACTCTTGTAGATGGTGACCTGCCCCTTGTCATCGGTCTTGATCCTCAGCACCCACTTGCATTGTATCGCTTTCTTCCCATCAGGCAGCACCACCAGATCCCATGTCCTATTCTCCAGCAGACTCTGGTACTCAGCATCCCTAGAAGCCAGCCACTTGTCCCTATCTGGTCCAGCTAATGCCTCCTCCATGCTAGCTGGTTCCTCTGGTGCAGGGGCAAGAAAACAGTACGCAGGCTCATCCTCCTCATCCGGGTCATAGCCATGAGGTAGAATCAGCAATGCCTCTTCGGTCCCTAGCTGCTGCTCTGCTGCATCAGTTCCTGCAGTCAGCTTCTTAGTAGCCATACGGGTACGTCCTGGCCTGGAGACGGGTGTCTCCCATCCCTTCATAACGACACCCTTCAGCTTCTTAGTTTTTCCCTGCTGCTTCTCTCCTCCCTCGGGTCCAGCAGCTCCACTAGTGCTGCCGCCAGTTTCCACACCATTTTCTCCACCAGCAGATGCCTCCTGTACCTTCTCTCCATCACCATTTCCAGCAGCTGCCTCCTCTCCCTCCTCCCACACACTAGGAGTCAGGTCCAGCTGCATGGTGATCTGCTCCATCTGCTGGGACACCCTTGCCTCCGGCTGTTTCTCCCAGCTCCCATACATCATGCCCTCAATGAATTTCACATCCCTGCTGTCAAACAACACACCCTTGGATGGTTCCCACAGCAGCCATCCCTTGCTCTCAGCAGCCAGCCCCAAATGCACACACCAGATTGCACTCGCCCCCAACTTACTGCGGTAGGTCTTGGGGACGTGGGCGACTGCCATGCAACCGAACACCCTCAGCATGTCCACCGGCGGCTTCCTCCCAAGCCACCTCTCCAACGGCACCCACGAGTCATCCCCAACCTTGGTGAGCACCCTGTTCCTAGCGACAGTGGCGTGCCGGACAGCATGAGGCCACATAGAATTGCTCAGCCCAGATTCTATGAGCAGCGCCCTAGCTGTCTCCAGAATGGTCCGGTTTGCCCGTTCTGCTACACCATTGGACTGTGGGGTATAAGCCGTGGTCAGCTCTCTCTGGATGCCCTGCTTCTTGAGCCAGGCCGTCATTTCAGCTCCAAGGAACTCACCACCCCGGTCTGTCCTAATCCGCTTCACTACACACTCCGCCTGCTTCTCCACGAATGGCAGCCAATCGTCCCGTATCGTGGAGGCGGCGTGGTCCTTCTGCTTCAGCGGATACGCCCACATCAGCCTGCTCCAGTCATCCACAATTGTAAGAAAATACCGCTCCCCCTTGTGCCCTTGCACCGGCAGCGGCCCCACCAAGTCCATGTGGACCAGCTCCAAAGGCTTCTTGCTCCTGCCAGCCACACTATGGAAAGGGAAACGGGTGAACTTTGAAAGCAAACAGATTTCACAGTTGTCATCGGGTGGCTGTCCGTTCAGCTTCAGACCCTTAACGGCTCCATCCTTCTCCAGCTGCTTCAGCAAAGGCATTGCCACATGCCCTAAGCGCCGGTGTGCCGTTGCCCAATCTGTCTCCCCAGATCTGGCCGACACTTTCACACCAACCCCTCCAACGGCATTGCACTCCCCCTGGGATGCAGACCCCTCTCCAGCCTGCCCCCCACCATGCCACGCCAGGGCCGGCAGCTGCCACATAGATCTGTACACGTCCTTGCTCTCGTGCAGATCCCAAAGCACCCGATTGCCCAGCTTCCCCTTATAAGTGCGTGCCCCATCCGTGTTGGTGTTCACCCCAGCCTTGCCAAGCTTACGGAGGGAGATAAGGTTGGCCTTCAGGTCGGGGACGAAGAGAACGTCGTGCAGCACCACCGGCTTGCCATCCGCTCCCTTAAACGCAGCTCGTCCCGCACCAGCCACCTTCAACATGTGTCCAGAGGCGGAGCACACTTCATTGATCGGTGCAGCTCGTACTTCGTCCAGCAGGTCCTTGCGCGGCGTCATCGTCCAAGCAGCGCCTGTGTCCAACACCCAATAGTCTAGGGGGTGCAGCTCTGCTCCAACTTTGGCAGAGGCGTCTCCTTGCTCCCCCTTGTCTCCTACATGGAAGAATTGGCCCGCGGTGCGCTCCTTCTTCTTCTCCGCACCGCCGTTGCCCTTCGGGTTGTTGTCGGACGAATCAGCGACCATGTTGGCGCCGTTTTTCTGGTTCCTCCGCGCGCCGCCATCCTGGTGACGATTCTGGGGGGTCCATCCATCGGGTTTCTTATAGCACAAAAACCAGGGGTGCCCTTCCTTCTCACAATACCAGCAACTCCCTTTCATTTTGCCACCAGCACCCGACTTGCCCCCACGTCCAGATTTCGCACCGCGACCCCAACCGGTACCTCCTTGTTGGTCGTTGGAGTCGTCGTCTTTCTTTGCACCGCGTCCAGCACCACCGAAGCCACGTCCTCTGCCACGTCGGCTCCCTTGCATCCCGTAGCCGCTGCTGCCGTCGTCTCCACCCCTCAGTTGGCGGCGACGGAAGTCCTCCTCCAGAATCTTCGTCCGCACCCACTCGAGCGTCCACAAGCTCTGGTTCTGCGGCAGGCTCAATCCGCTCGTAAATTGAAGCCACGATTCTGGCAGCAGCGAGAGCATCTTCAAGCACTTGGTCTGCTCCGGGTAGGTGATTCCTGTTGGTGTAAGGGCCTAATAAACTCAAGCTATTAGGACTTAATCAAACTTAAAACCTCTCCTCGGGGTCACCTCCAAGGGTCCCTGGGTGCCTGGTACAAGACCAGCCCCTATCCTCGGGTCCGAGTTTGTAGAGAGAGGGATCAAGAAGGACTTAGTCAAAACAGCAAGAGTACCTTGAACGTCGCGCAGCGTGCCGTGTGTTGGTGTAAGGGCCTAATAAACTCAAGCTATTAGGACTTAATCAAACTTAAAACCTCTTCTCGGGGTCACCTCCAAGGGTCCCTGGGTGCCTGGTACAAGACCAGCCCCTATCCTCGGGTCCGAGTTTGTAGAGAGAGGGATCAAGAAGGAATTAGTCAAAACAGCAAGAGTACCTTGAACGTCGCGCAGCGTGCCGTGCAGACCGTCGATCGGATTAAGCTGAGAATTCGCTATATCGAAGCTCGCTCCAAGAGCTTTAAAATGAGCCAAGTTGCCTCGCGAAAAGTTCTGCCATTACTAAGTTATGGCTCGGACAGCGTTTGCCTAGCGTTGGAGTGCTAGCATACTAGCGTTGACTCGGGTAGCATTCCGCCGTCGAATAGCGCAGAAACGAAATTCCAGCGAGGAAGGAATTCGCTTGAATCAATTTGACTATATTCAGGTACAAACAGAGAAGGATTAAATAGTTCTAGCTAGCAAGGACCTTGGGAATCAACCTGGGAACAACCAGGGATGATCCCAAATAATTCCAAGCAACAGAACCAACCTGGCTGGACAAAATAGCAGGTGGTAGGTTGGTAAACAACCTCTGGTTCTGTTTTTCCAACCTGGGAAAACAACAACCAGGTTCAGGTTCTAAAAACAGAACCTGTTTTGTCTTTGCCCAACCAGCCAAATGCTGGTTCCGCTGGTTTCCCCTGGCCTTGTAGCATGCAGATACAGACAAACAACATCCAACCTTCACCTAAATTGTACCCCTATAGTGCCTTCCCTGCTACACTATAGTTAACCAAACAAAACAGTACAATTCCGAGTTGGATAGAACTGAATCTGCGCAATCAACTCAACCGAACTGCAAAGCTTCCATCTTGGGTTCCTTTGCGAGCTCGTCCTTCCTGCTTGCACTGTTCATAGCGCATACAATGTTGTGCCAAAGCGCACATTGCGCGAGTACCTGCAAATGCATCAAGCGAAAAATGCGAAAGCAAACAAACACACGAACACACCATTCACACGCAAATGCATTCGCACACGCATACTCGTACAAACAGACGGCAGGATGTCGTGCAATGTGCATTTGCACCCAACAGTCGGAGGAGGGTGGTGGTATGTGCTTCTTCAGCGTGCGCATGCACTTCCGGTGAGTGTGTGTGTGAGAGTGCGTGTGGGCCGCGGGCGTGCTTAGCGGGAATTGGGGTGCATGTCGTTCTTGCAGAAGCTAAATTGTAGCTGTGCATGGGGTGGGGTTAGCCGCGTCGTGACTTGTTTGGTGTGTGGCTAAATGTGTGGCTTCATGGCTCGCTTTGACCATGCCTACTCACCCTTCCCCTTCTGTCCGTCTTTCATGCTGTTTCTCTCGCACAGCTGCCTGGCACATGTGATCAACCTTGCAGTGAAGGCAGCTCTCGCAGTAGCCGCCATACGCAAGCTGTTGAAGATTCTGAGGGAGATGGCGTCGTGGGTGGGCTTCTCGCCGCAGCGCTCAGGGAAGTTTCTGGGCCTACAACGGACCTTGAACGCGCAGGCCAACCCCGCCAAACCGAAGCCGGCGCTGAAGCTGGTGCAGGACTCTCCCACGCGCTGGGGGTCGACCCACGACATGGTCGAGCGAGCCGGGGTTCTGCAGGAACCAATCAATGTCTTCTTTGCCCAGACACAGGTGTGTGTGAAGGGTGTGCGCGACAGGTGTTGTGTGTGTGCTGGGGTTTCGTGTGCAGGTAGGCCGTGGTGTTGAGAATAAGAACCCACAACACTGGAGGTGGTTATGTTTGTTGTGTGTTTTACAATGACAATCCACCCTCACTAACCCCAGTTTCTTTGGTACCACCTGCCTGTCCAAACCCACCAACCTACAGGGCTTGTCGGCGACTGACAAGAAGAAGGTCGAGAGTTTGCGCCTGACAGACGCAGATTGGGAGACTCTGCATGCTGTCAAGGCATTCCTCAATCCATTCGCTAGAGTCTCGAAGGCAGCGGAGGGGGAGGCGTACCCTACAGTGTCGATGGTGGTGCCGTACTACAACGGCCTGATCGACGCTTTGGAGGCGCGCCTTGCGAAGGGGCCATCGGCTGCGCTGAAGCCGATGATCGAGGCGGCGCTGGAGGTGCTGAAGAAGTATGCGTACATGTCCTCCAACGAGCTGTGGATCGCCACCTTCTTGGACCCGTCCATGAAGGCGGCGTGGTTCGATGACGCGCACTGGGAGTCGCAGCATCCCGAGACCGAGCCGAGGGTGAGGCCGCGTCCCACGTCTAGCGAGGTGGTCCAGCTGGTACGCGACCGCGTGGCCAAGTACCAGGCCCGGGCTGATGCGCTAGCCCCCCGGGCGCCCCCACTTGCCACCGTGACGGAGGAGGAGGAGGGTGACGCGGGCGGATGACGACGAGGATGCGCAGTATATCCCTAGTCGCCGTCGACTTGCAGCGCGTCTCTCAGCAAGCCAGCAGACGGGGAACGGCGGGATGCTACAGGATGACGAGGTTAGCAGGTACCTGTCGGAGCGGATTCGGGATGACGTGACAGCGTTGGAGTACTGGCGCACCGCCACCAACATGCAGACGCTGAGGCGCATGGCCCGGGATTATCTGGCGATCCCTGCCACGTCCGCATCGAGCGAGCGCGTGTTCTCCCTTGGCCGCAACGTCATTTCCTGGAAGCGGCACCGCCTGGCCTCCCAGAGATCACGAGCTGTCATGGTTCTCCGATCCTGGTACACCTCACACCCCGGCCAGAGGATAGGCGAGGGCCGCCGCCTGACAAAGAGGCGTCGCACCGCCAGAGTTCGCAATTGAGGGCGAGGGTGCGGAGGACAACGAGGAGGAGGAGGACGAGGAGGAGGAGGAGGACGGGGGGGTGGGGGGGGGAGGGTGTGGAGGCTTCCGGAGACACAGCTGGCGGGGTGGAGCCTGCTGTTGGTAGTAGCAGTGGCGGCGTGTTAGCCTAGGAATTTATTATATTGTTGCATTTCTGTTACAAAACAGGATGGTGTTTGTAGCCTTAGGTGGGATGCAGGAATAATTTAGCTCCATGCAAACCCCATTTTTTATCTTTCTCGACCTTCAGGTGCACTTTCTGACAGATGTGACTATAGTGAATCTGCTTAAAGTCGAACGCGAACATGTTCGGCTCGAACATGTTCGAGTTCTCCTGCACATACAAAACGTTCGCCCTCAAGGGCGAACATCGAACACTTGTATCGGAGGAAATCGTTCGCCGAACCGAACAGTGTTCGGTTCGGCTGTTCGAGCTGTTCGACAGAGGTCGAACTCGAACCTGTTCGAGTTCGGCCTCTGCTCATCCCTAGTTGGACCAATGAGTCAGTTGGTCCAATCGGGTTGTTGGACCAAGAAGCCAGTTGGTCCCAACCGAGTTGTTCGACCAACAAGCCAGTTGGTCCAACCTGGTTGTTGGACCTAGTGACCAGTTGGTCCTACCGGGTTGTTGGACCAACAAGCCAGTTGGTCCAACCGCGTTGTTCGACCAACAAGCCAGTTGGTCCAACCGGGTTGTTGGACCAACAAGCCAGTTGGTCCAATCGGGTTGTTGGACCTACTAACTAGTTGGTCCTACCGAGTTGTTGGAATGGCAAGCCGGATGATCCAACCAGGTTGTTGGACCAACAAGCCAGTTGGTCCAACAGGGTTGTTGGACCTACCGAACAACTCGTATTACCGGGTTGTTGGACCAACAAGCCAGTTGGTCCAACCTGGTTGTTTGACCTACTGACCAGTTGGTCCTACCGGGTTGTTGGACCAACAAGCCAGTTGGTCCAACCGGGTTGTTGGACCAACAAGCCAACTGGTCCAACCGGTGTTGGACCTACTAACCACTTGGTCCTACCATGTTGTTGGACCAGCAAGCCAGTTGGACCAACCGGGTTGTTGGACCAACAAGCCAATTGGTTGTTTTAATCAGGTTGTTGGACCAACAAGCTAGTCGGTCCAACCAGGTTCTTGGACCAACAAGCCTCTTGGTCCAACCGGGTTGTTGGACCTACTAATGAGTTGGTCCTACACGATTGCTGGACCAACAGGCCAATTGGTTCAATCGGGTTGTTGAGCTTACTGACCAGTTGGTCCAAGCGATATGTTGGACCTACTTGACCAATTGGTCCTACCGGGATGATGGATCAACAAGCCAGTTGGTCCAACTAGGTTGTTGGACCTACTTACCAGCTGGTCCTACAAGATTGTTGGACCAACAAGCCAGTTGGTCCGACCGGGTTGTTGGACCAACAAGCCAGTTGGTCCAACCAAGTTGATGGACCCACTGGGTAGTTGTTTCTACCGGGTTGTTGGACCAACAAGCCAGTTGGTCCAACCGGGTTGTTGGACCAACAGGCTAGTTGGTCCAACCGGTCCAGTTGTTGGACTAAAAAGCCAGTTGGTCCAACCTGGTAGTTGGGCCTACTGACAAGTTGGTCGTACAAGATTATTAGCACAACAAGCCATTTGATCCAACCGGGTTGTTTGACCTACTGACCAAGTGATCCTAACAAGCCAATTGGTCCAACCGGATTCGTGAACCAACAAGCCAGTTGGTCCAACCGGGTTGTTGGACCAAGTAGCTAGTTGTTCCAACCTAATTGTTGGATCTACTGACCAGTAGTTGGTCCTACAAGGTTGTTGGACCAACAAGCCAGTTGGTCCAACCAGGTTATTGGACCAACAAGCCAGTTGGTCCAACTGGGTTTTTGGACCTACTTATCAGTTAGTCCTACTGGATTGTTGGACCAACAAATCAGTTGGTTCAATCGGATTGTTTGGTTTACTGACCAGTTGGTCCAACCGGGTTGTCGGACCAACAAGCCAGTTGGTCCAACCGGGTTGTTGGACCAACAAGCCAATTGGTCCAACTTGGTTGTTGGGCCTACAGACAAGTTGGTCCTACGAGATTATTGGAACAACAAGCCATTTGGTCCAACCGGGTTGTTGGACCTACTGGTCCTAACGGGTTGTTGGACCAACAAGCCAGTTGGTCCAACAAGGTTGTTGGACCAACATCCCAGTTGGTCCTACGAGGTTGTTGGACCTACTGACCAGTTGGTCCGATGGGGTTGTTGGACCAACAAGCCAGTTGGTCCAACTTCGTTGTTGGACCAACAAGCAAATTGGTCCAACAGGTTTGTTGGAGGTTCTGACCAAGTGGTCCTACCAGGTTGTTGTACCGACAATCCAGTTGGTCCGAGTGGGTTGTTGGACCAACAAGCCAATTGGTCCGACCGGATTGTTGGAAACACAAGCCATTTGGTCCAACCGGGTTGTTGGACCAACAAGCCAGTTGGTGGAACTGGGTTGTTTGACCAACAAGCCAGTTGGTCCAACCGGGTTGTTGGACCAACAAGCCAGTTGGTCCAATTGGGTTGTTGGACCAACAAGCCAGTTGGTCCAACCGGGTTGTTGGACCAACAAGCCAGTTGGTCCGACCGGGTTGATGGACCCACTGGGTAGTTGTTTCTACCGGGTTGTTGGACCAACAAGCCAGTTGGTCCAACCAGGTTATTGGACCAACAAGCCAGTTGGTCAAACTGGGTTGTTGGACCTACTTATCAGTTGGTCCTACTGGATTGTTGGACCAACAAATCAGTTGGTTCAATCGGATTGTTTGGCCTACTGACCAGTTGGTCCAACCGGGTTGTCGGACCAACAAGCCAGTTGGTCCAACCGGGTTGTTGGACCAACAAGCCAGTTGGTCCAACCTGGTTGTTGGGCCTACTGACAAGTTGGTCATACAAGATTATTAGAACAACAAGCCATTTGATCCAACCGGGATGTTTGACCTACTGACCAAGTGATCCTTACAAGTTGTTGGACCAACAAGCCAATTGGTCCAACCGGATTCGTGAACCAACAAGCCAGTTGGTCCAACCGGGTTGTTGGACCAAGTAGCTAGTTGTTCCAACCTAATTGTTGGATCTACTGACCAGTAGTTGGTCCTACAAGGTTGTTGGACCAACAAGCCAGTTGGTCCAACCAGGTTATTGGACCAACAAGCCAGTTGGTCCAACTGGGTTGTTGGACCTACTTATCAGTTGGTCCTACTGGATTGTTGGACCAACAAATCAGTTGGTTCAATCGGATTGTTTGGCCTACTGACCAGTTGGTCCAACCAGGTTGTCGGACCAACAAGCCAGTTGGTCCAACCGGGTTGTTGGACCAACAAGCCAGTTGGTCCAATCGGGTTGCTTGGCAAGGCTGGGGTGAACACCAACACGGATGGGGCACGCACTTATAAGGGGCAGCTGGGCAATCGGGTGCTTTGGGATCTGCACGAGAGCAAGGACGTGTACAGATCTATGTGGCAGCTGCCGGCCCTGGCGTGGCATGGTGGGGGGCAGGCTGGAGAGGGGTCTGCATCCCAGGGGGAGTGCAATGCCGTTGGAGGGGTTGGTGTGAAAGTGTCGGCCAGATCTGGGGAGACAGATTGGGCAACGGCACACCGGCGCTTAGGGCATGTGGCAATGCCTTTGCTGAAGCAGCTGGAGAAGGACGGAGCCGTTAAGGGTCTGAAGCTGAACGGACAGCCACCCGATTACAACTGTGAAATCTGTTTGCTTTCAAAGTTCACCCGTTTCCCTTTCCATAGTGTGGCTGGCAGGAGCAAGAAGCCTTTGGAGCTGGTCCACATGGACTTGGTGGGGCCGCTGCCGGTGCAAAGGCACAAGGGGGAGCGGTATTTTCTTACAATTGTGGATGACTGGAGCAGGCTGATGTGGGCGTATCCGCTGAAGCAGAAGGACCACGCCGCCTCCACGATACGGGACGATTGGCTGCCATTCGTGGAGAAGCAGGCGGAGTGTGTAGTGAAGCGGATTAGGACAGACCGGGGTGGTGAGTTCCTTGGAGCTGAAATGACGGCCTGGCTCAAGAAGCAGGGCATCCAGAGAGAGCTGACCACGGCTTATACCCCACAGTCCAATGGTGTAGCAGAACGGGCAAACCGGACCATTCTGGAGACAGCTAGGGCGCTGCTCATAGAATCTGGGCTGAGCAATTCTATGTGGCCTCATGCTGTCCGGCACGCCACTGTCGCTAGGAACAGGGTGCTCACCAAGGTTGGGGATGACTCGTGGGTGCCTTTGGAGAGGTGGCTTGGGAGGAAGCCGCCGGTGGACATGCTGAGGGTGTTCGGTTGCATGGCAGTCGCCCACGTCCCCAAGACCTACCGCAGTAAGTTGGGGGCGAGTGCAATCTGGTGTGTGCATTTGGGGCTGGCTGCTGAGAGCAAGGGATGGCTGCTGTGGGAACCATCCAAGGGTGTGTTGTTTGACAGCAGGGATGTGAAATTCATTGAGGGCATGATGTATGGGAGCTGGGAGAAACAGCCGGAGGCAAGGGTGTCCCAGCAGATGGAGCAGATCACCATGCAGCTGGACCTGACTCCTAGTGTGTGGGAGGAGGGAGAGGAGGCAGCTGCTGGAAATGGTGATGGAGAGAAGGTACAGGAGGCATCTGCTGGTGGAGAAAATGGTGTGGAAACTGGCGGCAGCACTAGTGGAGCTGCTGGACCCGAGGGAGGAGAGAAGCAGCAGGGAAAAACTAAGAAGCCGAAGGGTGTCGTTATGAAGGGATGGGAGACACCCGTCTCCAGGCCAGGACGTACCCGTATGGCTACTAAGAAGCTGACTGCAGGAACTGATGCAGCAGAGCAGCAGCTAGGGACCGAAGAGGCATTGCTGATTCTACCTCATGGCTATGACCCGGATGAGGAGGATGAGCCTGCGTACTGTTTTCTTGCCCCTGCACCAGAGGAACCAGCTAGCATGGAGGAGGCATTAGCTGGACCAGATAGGGACAAGTGGCTGGCTTCTAGGGATGCTGAGTACCAGAGTCTGCTGGAGAATAGGACATGGGATCTGGTGGTGCTGCCTGATGGGAAGAAAGCGATACAATGCAAGTGGGTGCTGAGGATCAAGACCG